ATGTAGTTTCAATGGGAGGGGCTATGCTTATGATTATAGGTACTGTTTGGCCCTCATGCTATCTTAACTACTTGGAAGGTGAACTGGCTGCGCAGGGGATAGATTGAAGACTATATAGTTGAATCAAACAATAATTTATTAACTGGCAAGAATTTTAGACTTTCTCTCCTCCTGAGTCTCACTACAAAGTCTTTATGAGGAGAGGTAAAGTCTTTGAGAGATAGACACAGTTTTGGCTAAACTGAGGCTCTTGAATCTTTATTTCTTCTTATTGTCTCTTTCTTGTATGGTGTTCTACTGTTTCTAGGATGGCCTCAATATTGAACTCTGACTGGACTTGCATAAAGATCAGAATGAACTTGAATACAACTCTAACAGGACTTGAATACAGCTCTGACTGGACTTGAATATATCATATGAAAGCTGACTGGTACAACCTGGGGATCACAACCAGATACAGTGAAGACATCTGCCCTTGCGCTATGCTACTCTGCTGCTGAGTATGTATGCGCTGTGTGGTACACATCTCACCATGCTAAAATAGTGGATGTGGCTCTTAATGAGACATGCTGCATTATCACGGGGTGTCTGCACCCTATACTACTGGAAAAATTTCACTGTTTAGCCGATATTGCACCACCTGACATCCACCGGGAAGTAGCAACCAATAGAGAAAGGACCAAGGCAGTAACATCTCTGGCTCATCCTCTGGGTATCAGCCAGCACGCCAGTGACTTAAATCAAGAAATAGTTTTCTAAGATCTACAGAGACACTCGCTGGAACATCTCAGCAAACGAGAGTCCAAAAGTGGCAAGCGCAAACCCAGAACCTCAATCAATGGCTGATACCAAATGAGAGACTCCCTCCTGGGCACACAGAAAACTCGGCGACTTGGAAGGCACTGAACAGACTGCGCTCTGGCGCCATGAAATGCAGAGCCAACCTTAAGAAATGGGACTACAAAGTGGAATCCACAATATGCGAGTGTGGAGAAGAGCAAACCACAGAACACCTACTGCAATGCAACCTGAGCCCTGCCACATGCACAATGGAGGACCTTCTTGCAGCAACACCAAAGGCATTCAAGATGGCCAGCTACTGGTCAAAGGACATTTATTAGAATATCAGGTCTGCAAATTTTGTGTTTTGTTTGTTTGTCTGTTTCTTAATGCAATACAACTGTTTTGGTTCGCTCCTGACACGATAAATAAATAAATAAATACAGCCCCGACTGGACTTGAATACAGCTCCAACTGGACTTGAATACAGCTCTGACTGGACTTGAATACAGCTCTGACTGGACTTGCTATTATGTAGACCTTCTGGCCTTCCTCTCATTTCACCTTCCAGTCATTAAAAGACTGACACTTCTAAGAACTAGAAGTGTCTTGTGTAAGGCTCCGGCCCTGAGCGGATTCTTAAAGGGATAGGGTGATGAATGCTTCAAATGCAAAGAGGATATCTAGACTGATCCTCTAGAAACTGTACATAAAATCTTAATCCCTCTAACTAAAAAGGGATTAACTAGGGGTGAACAGTGAGGGTCTTCATAGAGCATGTCATTCCTGCTTGTAAAAACAGCTGTTATGGTGTTGTACTAGAGCAAGATGGCTCATGCAGGTATTCATGCAGGTATGGTTGGATGCAACTCACAGCACTGATAATGCTGGCAATGTCTGATGAGAGTTGCAGGTCAGGAGCAACTGGAGGATCACTTGACTAACATCCCTATGCCTGGGTGCAAACAATAAGACATGGGGCACCAGAATTTGAACTTTATCTAATTTTAAAGCTCATTTGGTAATCTTGAACCTTAATCAATTTTACCTGTCAGCAGTAAAAGTTAAGGTGGAAGATGATTCAGGAGGCTATCAAACTTTTTCAAAGAAGAGTGATAAAATGTCATGAATAAAAAACAAGGTAACCCATCGAACCAGAATTTTTGTTTTCAAGGAGCCGTAAACATCTAGCTAGCTTAATTTATAATATCACTAGTATTTGCTTTTGTTCATTGGATGAAATATTTTCCTTTTAATTTTTACCACAGTCCAGAAAATTGGGCATGGTTTACAAGCTGTGCTTCAGTTTCATGTTATTTAAATAACAAAATTATTTACAATGCAGTATAGAATTATCCAGCACCAGTCTGTTATAATGGTATTCACCTTCCTCTAAAACAGTGTTTCTTTCATCAATCCATCTAATCCAAACCCTCTTGTGTAATTTAGCTGAAGGTGGGATAACTGGGGAAGGAGGTATAATAGCTCTTAAATCCACTCATCCCTTTCCACGCCTTTTCGTATATTCATTTCAGAGCCAGTAAGTGCAACTAGGAACCAGATGCAATTAAGGGTGACAAGAAATTGCTACAGAGAAAGGGGTGCAGTCTGTAGCATTGTATATCTGCCTATTAAACTAATGAGAACGCAGCATCCATCCTTGGGAATCATAATGTGACTTTCCATAATTGCGGTTCCAATCCTGCCACCACAGTACAAAAAACAAGGTGTTGCTATACCCATAACAGCCTAGCTTTCTTTCTTGCAAATTTCCAATGAACATAAAGAATGAACATTTTTAAAAATCCAGCCTTGCCTGTGGGAATAGCTTTTTGCATTAACATTTTGGAGGGTTAATACAAAATACGAATGGAGCTTTCTTGTTTGACACTACCATGTTCCTTCAGCAAAGGAGTCTCCAAAGCTTTATCAAGTGGGGAGGCAGTTGAGGAACTTATCAGGCATGGCCGTAAAAGTTAATTGAATCAAAATCCTATTTCGGTGGCATGGACTCTAATGAGGTAATAGATTCTGCAGGGTGGGTTCTTCTATTTTCCATTAAGAATCCATGTATCGTTAAAGCAATTTGCAGTTGTTTTCTCTACAACAAGAGTCTGCAAAGGGAGGGACATGGCTTTTTTTTTTATCATTAGGGTCCCAAAGGGTCAAATTGTACAGGAAATGGAAGTGAGCAGGAAATTAATTCTTCCTTTCACATTTTCTGCAGAATTTCCTCAAATGCAGCCAAATGGAAATGAGAGTTTGGAGTGCATTTCCACCACATGTGGAAGCTCTGTGGGTCACCCAGGAGTAAAAAACATTTTTTTAATTCTCTCTCTCCCCCCCCCCAAATGTCTACTAGAGTGAGGGGTGTATTTCCATCACATTTTGTACCCCACAGGTCAATTTAGGTCCAGGAAGAGCCTTTATTAAAATGGAAAATGAATAGGAAATTACTTCTAGTTACTTCCTGTTATTATAAAATGATTGTTCTGCCCCCCAAACATAGAGAAAATGGCCTCTTACTTCCTTTACCCCTGAGGGCAAAACATTTGTTGTTGTTGTTGTTGTTGTTGTTGTTGTTGTTGTTAATGATGATGATGATGATGATGATGATGATTGCAGGAGCAGGTAGAGTGAAGAGATGTTCCAATGCAAAGCCACCTATTGGGGTGGCCACACACACAAACCTGGAATTCATGTAGAACTTTCGTCAGAGTGCAGGGTAAAGCCAGTTTTTTAAAAAACAGTTTAAAGGTCAATGTATTGCACCTGGTATTTTGGGCAGTCTCACATCCAAGAACTAACCAGGCTGACCTTGTTTAGCTTTCAATACAAAGAAAATGATACCATACAAGAGGAAAACAAGAAATTAAAACTCACTTCTTTATAGTGCACAGGATATAATGGAGGTTTTTTTTTTGTTGTGTCAGGAGCGACTTGAGAAACTGGAGCCCCCAGTGGCACAGTGGGTTAAACCCCTGTGCCAGCAGGACTGAAGATTGACAGGTTGCAGGTTCGAATCCGGGGAGAGGCGGATGAGCTCCCTCTATCAGCTCCAGCTCCTCATGCGGGGACATGAGAGAAGCCTCCCACAAGGATGATAAAAACATCAAAATCATCCAGGCGTCCCCTGGGCAACGTCCTTGCAGACGGCCAATTCTCTCACACCAGAAGCAACTATAATGGAAGTGAGATGGAGACTTGTGAGACAATGAAACAACCAGGGATGGACAGGTTCATTTGGAAGAGCCTAAAAGTCAGATTTTTTTTTTTATGAATTTTGACTTCTGAAGTAGTTTTGAACCATGCAGGAAAGGGGAGAGAGGAATCCGAATTTGAACCACTTACCTTTTATTTTTTGGCAATATTATATAATGTTTGGATGTCTCCCAAGGTTATTTTAATTTTCACAACCATTAAGCAACTTTAGTAAAGCCTAAACTTTTAAAATCTCATACTTCCTGCTGCACTGATGCAAGGAGGGATGAGGTGTGTGTGGCTAATCACAGCCATCTTTAAGTGTGGTTTGTGAAGGCCAGGCCCCCAATGTAGAGATTGCAAAAAGCCCTGCTGTTAAACTACATTTCCCACACTGCCTTGCTGCTCATTAGCCAAAATGGCTGAAGGACCCAAAATAGCTGTCTGTAGCAGTCTTCGTCTAAATATAAAATAAACTGATTGAATCTACAAAGATTTCTAAAGGTGTCTGTACCAAGTTTAATCAGGATTGGTCTAAAAATGAGGGAAGGAGAATCCCCCGAAGTTTCCCCAGTGCCAATGCTGACTTTTTCCTACTGCGCATGTGTGTCCGCGTTAACAAAGTGATTCAGAAGTTTAGGGAGTTGTGATTTTTTTTAAAAAAAATTCAGATGTGACTTTAGAATCAAATCACCAGCGACCCCTACATCCAAAACAAGTTTTAAACCATTTTTTTTTGGATCAACCAAGCCTAGAAACAACTTCAGGGACATCTTGCTTATTATCAAGCTTGAATATATAGGATGTAATTTGGTGGTAAGGCCGACTGAAATCACTGGATTAAGAACTCAGCGGCTCTATCTGTCTATGTAAGATTTCACAGAATCTTACACCTGTGGCTTCTTGTGTGTTTCTGAGAAACAGTATTTCTCCAGTCTGACATATGAAATTAAGAAACCACAAAACTTCCTCACTGCTATTTGAAGGCCAGTTGCAGGAGCTCAGTCGAGACACTTGCTTCTTGCAGCGAAAGGAAGTCTGTTCATCTTCATAATGAGACCCATTCAGTGGCTGGCTGTTGGATTCTTCCTGCTTCTTGGTAAATTTCATAGAATTCATTTAGCCTAGAGGAATGTGACATGCTGAATGAGACAAAATGTGGCCTGCATGAATATGAGGGTTTTCCCCGGGAACTAATGTACTTCTCTCCATGGAGGTTCCATGATACAGGAATGGAAAAACGGATGACGAACTGGATCACGACTCTAGTTATGAGATGTATTGTGTTGTTTATTGTTATATTAATATTGTATACCATGCTATTAGGGTTTTAAATTGTATATCTTTGTCTGATTTTTATCCTTGTTGTAAACCGCGTTGAGTCGCCTGTTGGGCTGAGAAACTGCGGTATACAAGTAAAGTAAATAAATAAATAAATAAATAAATTTAGAAATTATGATTGACAAATAGTTTTGGAAGGTTTTGTTTTTTAATTACATATCCTTGAATCCTGCAGACAAAATGGCCAGTGACAAGAGTCACTGGGGGATTCTGGAATTTGTAATCCAAAAGAGTAACCTATAAACACTCTAATATTATCTGATTGATATTCTTCCTATTTATTTTCAGTCATGCATCTGAAAAATCAGGTCTTGTTATGTTTGTTGGCTGACCACACTGTTGGCTGACCATTTGTTGGCTGGCCATTTGGTCCTACAGTGAACATCTAGATGTAGTAATTCTTTTCATATTCTGTTCTTTGCATCTTCTCTTTTTTCCTCTAAAATTGCTTCAAATTTTGTCTGTATTCAAATGAATGGATGACTTTTTTTGTCCTAATAATGGCTTTCTAATATTCAGATTTTCCCCTGCCCACATTGACTTTAAAGGTAAAGGTTTTCCCCTGACATTAAGTCTAGTAGTGTCCGACTCTGGAGGTTTGTGCTCATCTCAATTTCTAAGCCGAAGAGCCAGCATTGTCCATAGACACCTCCAAGGTTATGTGGCAGGCATGACTGCATGGAGAGCTGTTACCTTCCCACTGGGGCAGTACTACTCACATTTGCATGTTTTCGAAGTGCTAGGTTGGCAGGGACTAACAGCAGGAGCTCATGCCGCTCCATAGATTCGAACCTGTGACGTTTCGGTCAACAAGTTCAGCAGCTCAGCAGTTTAACCCACTGTGCCACTGGGGGCTCCCCACATTAATTTTAAAATGATATAAATGCAAAATGGCACAAAAGAAATTTCATTGGGATTTGCAGGTTTCAAGTTCTGCAGAATTTTGTTTTCTGTATTGCTTTGGTTATAAACTACATACGAAGTCAAGGAATAATAATATAATTTAAAGTGTACATTTTAAAACATAATCTTTAAACTGAATTGATGTGTAAATTCTGTTCTGTGATTTTTGAATGTTAAAGATTCACCTATTACCATTGTATTATTGTAATTTGTTAAAACACAGGACAAGATTTCTGCTTTATTATAGTTAGGTTGACTAACTGCTGATATTTTATGGCTTGCTCATAGATTTCTGTACAGGACAAAGGATGGTGTCCATTCAGAAGGGCCGTCTCTATCGAGCAAAGGGCTACCATGTCACCATCTGGTGTAATGTTAGAGGGTATCAAGGACAACTTCAGCAGGATTTCCAATGGTCCATTTATAAGCCATCTGCTCCAGATATGGAAATACAGATGATCGGCACTCATGACAATTTCTCTCCTTACGCTGCCTATGCCCAACGTGTCAGAAGTAGGGAAATTTACATCGAAAGGCTCCGAGGAGACTCCGTTCTGCTACATCTCACAGACCTCAAAGATCAGGATGCTGGCGAGTACCAATGCCACACACCCAGCACAGACAGTAAATACTTGGGGACTTACAGTGCTAAAATGAACCTCTCAGGTATGATAGAACATGTTGCCTTTCCCATCAATTTTCTAGTGAGTCTTTCCCAATCCAGTGCTCTCTAGATGTGTTTCTCTAAATTTGTTAGCGATCCCATTCAAGTGAAGATCAAAGGTAATTTTCCCAACCTCCGTTCAGGAAACTTGGACACTGGAGGCACCACATGCAATATTTTCATGCTCTAGTATTATTTCCCTTCATCCATTCCCATACACTGCAGTTGAGTCCAGATAACCATTTCCCCTCCAAATTGGTCAGTAGCCTACATAATGTATAGTTATGTGCATGCGGTTCCATGTCCTCCCAATAACTGTGTCAGGAGGGTTCTCTTCTGCTATTGCTTGCTAGTTTGAAGAGGAAGGGGAGGGAAGATGATTCAGACTGTGGTCTCAACTTAGTTGGGAAGGAATGTGCTCTATAATAATAATAATAATAATAATAATTATTATTATTATTATTATTATTATTTGCACACAGCCACTATCTCCCCAATGGGACTCGAGGAACAAAGCACTCAAGGTGCCACACATAAAATAGAATTACACATCACCAAAACAATACACAATTTGACTAAATACAAACAATGGATAACGTCAATCAATAAAATTAAAAATTGGAAAAATTCTAAAAGACAGTCAGACCCATGTGGGTCATTGGGTTTCTTCAAACACGATCTAAAGTGCTGAATAACAATAGTTGACGTCATCACATGACCATAGTACATTACTCCAGGCCAAAGGCTAATGTAAATAGCCATGTTTTTAGGCTTGGAAGGAAGGTTTGGAGATTTGGGACATGGAATTGGAATGCACTTGCCTTTTTCTTCCTCTGGGGGTTCAGTGCAAACCAGATCTTCATGGTCTGAGTTACCTCCTCCCTCTGTCCTCTCACACTGGTCATCAACAATTGCAGCTACCTGACAGCTTCCCAGTAGTGAGAGGTTTTTCGACTGAGTTCAAGGGAAAGTGATTAGACCTCTGTCCCTAATTCTAAAAAAGGATTTAGGTATGCATAAGTCACTAACAGGATGCTAGCCTTTGCCTGTTCTTTTCTTTCAGTCATTCAAGACACACTTTCTGCCACCATGAAGATGCAGTCTCTCAGCAGAGATCAAGGAGATTCATTAGAACTCATTTGTGAAGTATCAACAGCAACAACTATACATACCCACCTCTCTGTTGCCTGGTACATCCTTAAAAAAGAAGGAGATGGACAAGCCCAGAAGATCATTTCTTTGTCCAGGGATTTTGTCTTACTTCCAGGACCATCCTATCAGCAGAGGTTTTCTTCTGGAGATGTCAGGCTAGACAAAACAGGGAGCAAGGAATATAAACTATTGATTGCAAAGATACAACCCTCAGACCAGGGGGAGGTGTACTGTGAAGGGGTGGAGTGGATTCAAGATCCTGATGAAACATGGAAAGATATTGCCCGGAAACAGACAAATCGAATATCCCTGATGGTCAGAAGCCTAGGTAAGATCTGTATGTTCCAATAGTCAAAGGTGCCATCAGTTTCTTTTTAAAGCTTGTGTTGTTTGAGTATCTGGGAAAGCCACTGTACATACTTCTCACAAATACAAATTAACCAGATTCTCCAAGTCTTCTAAACAGCTCTGTAAAGCTCAAGAGGATTTAAAATGCAAGTTAAGTTAATTTAATTCACAGCTAAAGACCATTTTGTCCCTAGCTATAGTGTTAAGAAGTAGCCTTTACATCAAGGCTGAGCATCCTAGGAAGCTGGGGAGCTTCAATGGGGCCCCCAGGAGTCCTTGACTGGGTACACCACTCTCAATTTTTTTTTAAAAAAAACCCATAATTCCCTAAATGCCACCTAGGGAATGTATGGGGATTTTGTCATGTTTGGGGGCCAGGAGAGACCTTTTAACAGCAGTCATTTTCTACCCACTTTCTTTCTTTCTTTTTTTAAGGGTATCTCCTAGGCCTACTATGGCCCTAAGGAGACTACAATTATGCAAACGTATGATCCGTGACCCACAGGGGGCATTTGAAAGTCATTTGAGGCAAAATATTTGACCTACAGTGAGCCCTGGGATTGAGTGGTGTGTGTGTGTGCAAACAAGCAGGCTCAAACTATTTTGGTGCCTAAAGCAGAGCAGGAAATCCCTCTCCACCCCAATTCAAGATTCATGGTACTAAGGCCAACCAAATTATTTAAGGCAATGATGCCAAAAATTACCTCATCTCCAGGAATCTAAATATACAATAGCAACAAAGATAATAAATCACACATTTGCTTTATTTTCTTGTTACTCCAGATGTGCTACCTGAAGTAGCTACCTTATTCTGCTTATGCAGCATATTCTGGCTTAACCCTGAGAGTTTGCTCTTTTTAAAAGCCAAATATCCTGCACCGCTGTCTACATCAGTTCTCAACCTGTGGGTCCCCAGAGGTTTTTTCCTTAAGTCACCTTCAGGCTGAGAAAGGTGGGATAGAAATACCGAAAATAAATAAATAAATTCCTACAACTCCCAGAAATCCTAACAGTTGGTAAACTGGCTGGGATTGCTGGGAGCTATAGGCCAAAATATCTTGGGATCCACAGGTTGAGAACCACTGGTCTACATAAATTCAAGATTTTGAATGGATTTCATACATTTTTTTTAAATGGCTGGTATCCTATACAATATTTATGAGATCATTGGCTGGACTTACACTCATATAACTTTGTGGATCATATTTATGGTCGTTCACAGCTGAATGTGAGCCCAAAACTTATACCTTTGGAAAGGTGTCACCCTATTCAAAGGATTTCTGAAATACTGGATGAAGGAGCTGGAAAATGAATAGTGCGGGTCTATCATTGTAGGGGGGAATATTGAGAGAAGCCCTTGTATAAGGGATCTCTCCAACTGCCTTTCTCAATCTCGATGTGGCCCTTGATTGGGAGAGCGCTACAACCATGATTCTTCAGCTCACTGTTCTGTAGTACCTTGGAAAGCTGTTGGTTATCTGTCTTAAGAGGTAGGTTTTTGGTCAATAAGTGTAGTTACAACAACAGTGCTCTGTTCTTAAAAGTCAACATGCCCATGCCTTCCCAACCCCCTGCAGCAGACCTAGTTCTTGAACTTATCATCTGTTGGGCTTCGATGTGGTGACTGGCAGCTCAATAATGTGGTAGCTTTCCACAAGAGAGTTCCATCCTAAATTAAACAGTGTATTTTGTAAATGCTACGCGCACGATCTGTATAAGAGCAATGCTTTTTAACCTCACTTTTGGCTCCGAATGGCACAGTTCCATATTGTTCAGATATAAGAGATTCAGCAAATATTTGTGAATGGTAAACGTTTGTTCGGGATTTCTGCTCTGAATTATTGATGAACCAACATCCAGGGCCTTGGATAATTTATGTGCAGTAAGCAATTAGGCTGGCTCTAGTGATGATTAGCTGCATCATCTCGGGCTTGTGATGCACAAAGAGAAACCTCGGTATTTCCTGGATATTGGGGAAAGGCATCTACTCTTCCTTTCAAGATGTTGAAGAGTCACATTTTCAAGGGGAAACTGTTTCAGCAATCTACATGTTGACCATGATTCCTCCTTCTCCCCACACTTTTGACTGTGGAAACAGATATTATTTGATACTGTTGATACAGAAAACTGTTTAAACAAAGACAGTATCAGCTCTCAACCTCATAAGAGTCAGTGTAGAAACTGTATATAGGGTCAATTCATTCATCATTCCTGTACCTGTTTGTTTTTAGCCAACTGGACTGTGCTCTGATTTAAAAGAAGCATTGCTTGGGTGCTAGAAATAATATAATACAAAAGCTGACTGGCACAACCTGGGGATCACAACCAGACACAGTGAAGAGATCTGCCCTAGCACTTTGCTACTCTGCTGCTGAATATATATGCCCAGTGTGGAATACATCTCACCACATTAAAACAGCGTAGCTCTTAATGAGTCATGCCACATTATCACAGGATGTCTACGCCCTACACTGCTGGGGAAATTATATGGTTTAGCTGGTATTGCACCACTTGATATCCATTGGGAAGTAGCAGCCTGTAATGAAAGGACCAAGGCATTGACATCTCCAGCCCATCCTCTCTTCAGATATCAACCTGCAAGCCAACACCTCAAATCAAGAACTAGCTTCCTAAGATCTACAGAGATATTCACAGGAACACCTCAACAAGTGAAAGTCCAAAAAGTGGCAGGTTATGTGTTCAATCAATGTGCTTAACCAGTAAAACTTTCAAACTATATAATCACAGTTCTATAATTCCACTTTTACCTCTATGATGGTATCCTATAACATCCTAAGATTGGCAGTTGAGGAGGGACATCTGGAATCATCAGCCAAAAAGTTATAGTGCAGTGGTTCCCAGACTTTGGTCCTCCAGATCTTTGGAACATCAATTCCCATGAGCCTCAGGATGTCTGACTAACAGGAATTTTGGGAGCTGAATTTTGAAACACCTGGAGAATCAAAGATTGGGAACCAGTGCACCCAGTTACATTCCCCACTATTCCAAACCAGTGGGCGATAAGACTTGCTAAATAAGTGTTAAAGTAAAGCATTTCAGAGAGCATTCCAACATACATTCTGTGGCCCATATTCTTATACTGGCAAAGTTAGCTGGTGGGGTTTCTGAAACAAAGAAGACTCCCACCAAGCCATTCACAATTTCAGAACACTAACATCAATATAAATGTGAAGCCAAGAGGTCAGCCATGTTAAATGCTTCTTTAAAAAGCATAATAAGGGAAACAGGGGATTCTTAATTTGGAGATCTGTGACCTTCGCCATCTATCAGGGATACTTTTTGCTTTTCCTGCATGGCAAGGGGTTGGATGAGATGGCCCATGTGGTCTCTTCTAAATCTATTATGTTATGGTTCTATTATTCTAAATCAGTGGTTCTCAACCTGTGGGCCGCAGCCCAGCAGTGGACCACGAGAATGAAAATCTTGTTTGCGAATCTCCTTCCTCTTTTTTATTTTATTTTATTTTATTTCTGCTCATTTCTGCAGAGCTGATCAGCCCTGCCCCTTTTGATACTAATGCTGGAGAGTGGTCCCTGGTCAAAGTGGTCCCTGATAAAAACTGTTTCCGGTCAAGTGCTCCCTGGTTAAAGTGGGCCCTGGTCAAAAAAGGTTGGGAACCACTGTTCTGAATGGAAAACCCAAACTCAATTTGCATAGTAGCTCAAACGGGTGGACTGAAGCTTTTTTTAAAGTGTGTGTTAAACAAAAAGCAAAAGTGTTAAATCAAAACTGACAGAAATTCCAAGTTTTTCAACCTGAACATCATTATAACTACCATATCCACTCACCCCACCCCCCTCCAATGACTATGTGAGAAAGACTTTCTGCAAATTAAACACATTTTACATTAATACAATGGAAAAGAATAAAAAAGATAGTTTTAAAACATGGGGGAGAATGTGTGCTGAATCTATGCAAGAAAGATTGTGGGCTTGGCAGTAGGGTGCAGAGCCTATAAAAGTTACTTTTAGAACTATGCTTTTCAGAATCTCCAGCCAGCATAGCCAGGGGCTCTGATAAGAAAGGAAGTAAGATACTTCCCTGTCCTCACTATCTATCTTGCACGAGATATGTAGTGCAATGTTGGGAAAGAACTTCAGTTAAGAAGACTTGTATATTATGGCATATTAAAGACACCAAAGTTTCTGGAACAAAAAGAAAAATGTGGTCTCAAATTAGAAATATTAATTCAGGAAATACTTTTCCAGACTCCTGAAATAACGAAGCCCAAAAAATTCTGAGATCTGTAGAAGGTCTCTTTTGGTGTTATACGAAATGGACCATCATGTGAGTGTATGGTAGCACCCTTGTCCTAAGATTCTTCTCTTTCATTTTGAGAACTAGAAAAGATGGTCCAAATCCTGAGATGCCAGGCCCTGAGATCTGTGAGCCCATTTCCAAATGTCAAGTTCTTTGCCTCTTTTCTGATTACTTCCTGGTTACTTTTGTGCTTTCTTCTTCTGTGTTGTCTCTGGAAAAATAAGAGGAAATTGTTTATTTATTTATTTATTATTTATTTATTTACTTCATTTGTTGACCGCCGTTCTCAGCCCTAGGGCGACTCACGGCGGTGTACAACATGTAAAAACAGTTTACAATAAGGCAAAACACAGAGAAATAACAGTATAACTATCAATGTATAACAATAATATAACTACACTAAATCATCCGCGCCGTCTCATCATAGAATCGTAAACCAATCTCGTAATCCGTATTCCGTTCCAGTCGTCATTGCCAATTGTCGTAGCACTTAGTTAAACGCCTTCTCAAATAACCATGTCTTTAGGCTCTTGCGGAATGACATAAGGGAGGGCGCCTGTCTGATGTCTACAGGGAGGGTGTTCCACAGCCGGGGGGCCACCACTGAGAAGGCCCTATCTCTCGTCCCCGCCAGACGTGCCTGTGAGGCAGGCGGGATCGAGAGAAGGGCCTCCCCAGACGATCTCAAGGCCCTCGTGG